AGTCCGTACCTAACAAATGAAGAAAGACAAAGACACAAACAATCACTGCTAGAAAGATAAATGTCTCTCACCCTTTGCTGGTAGTGAGTCAACAATCTCTTCTGATGTCTCGCCTGGAACATTATAACCTGAGAGAAGAGAGGAAACGCCTTCATGTGAAGTAAGTCTGAAAATACACATACTTATATATAACTCTACAGAACAGCCAACCACAGATGTTGATGCAGCTTTTATAACAGTTACTGAGACTATGTGAAACTTCGAAAGGAAATTAACAAACTTTGCTGATTTCCTTCAAGTGCTTGGTCGCCACATCGTTGACGTCAGAAAACAAGGCCTTCACCTCTGAGCTGCTCTGAAACAGACATTTCCCACATGACTGTAATGACATCCTGGCTGTAAACTGATATCCACCTGTTCATTAAGTGGATGTTATTCAATGCAGACAGCTCCACATCCACACAATGACGCCATTAGATTTGAAGAAAGATACTTACTTTGTCAGAGAGGGGTGACACCTGGCATTTGGCATTGCATGTTAAGCATTTTCCTTGTGTTCCTGCAATTAAAATTCAAAATTCTAATAAATAAAATGCACAATCTTTGCAGGATGGTAGCTAATAGAAGACTTGTGGAAACTGAATCTAGTACAAAATCAACAAAATTCAAATTTTCAAAGTGATAATCCATTTGAATCTAACCCTGAGAAGTAAGGGTTTGATTGAAATTAGAGCCTCAGGAATAGACCTGTTATATAAATTTGAAAGGTACCACATCCAGTGTTGAATTGGAGGATATGACGAGCAGTACTTTTACTCTCTTCTGTATCCTAATATTGCTCTCTGATGGTATAAGTTACCTTCAAATATCTGCTCTCTGTCATCATCAATTAGCTTATCCAAAGAAATGTGATTTTTATTTCTCAAATTAAAACATATTCCCCTTTATTTCAATAATGATGTCACTGCACCACGACTTCCTTTATTCCCTTGACTCTTTATGTATTCATAGATTGATCCTTTTCTCTCTCTCTCTTTTGATTGTGCCCAGTCTATAGTCGTAACTTTTTTCTTTTTATTCCACCTGTCCTCACTCTGTCCTCTTGTTGTTAGTTCTGTAAGTGTTTCATATTGTACCTGATGTAAAAACTGAGAGATCAAATGTGTAGTATCAATCAAAACCCAACAGATGTCTCTGTCTCATCATGCTTGGAAACCTGCATGGAGCTGCAGGCATGGAGCTGCAGACACTGGGTCTCAGGTAACTCACCTTTCTGATAACACACGCTGCAGATGATGTGACCACATGTTGTCAGAGCCAGTTTCCTGTCAGCCCCGGGGGGGAGGAAGCAGCAGTTGCAGCAGACCCAGAAATACATTTAAACACCTGCAGGACACAAGAGCAGCATGAATCCCCTGAATCTGAACCAACCCTCATCTCTTACCTTCACCAGAGAATCTGTCCTGACCTCAGACTTCATTGTTTGTGTGTGAGCTTGTAAAATTAGCCTCATCTAAACATGCTATGCTGTTTTCTAACCTTAATTTGATTTCTGTTTAGTTTATAGCAACTTAATAAACCAGCTCAGTCCTTATTGCGGTCATTTACATGTATATTCGCTTTACTGCTGAAGCTAGCTCTGGATGTAGTGAAGCTAAATGCTAACGTAGCCACCGTTCATTGTAAATAAGGCTCCACAGAAGCGATGTGTTTTCAGCTCTGTTCCACTAGTTAGTAGTTTTATTTCTGCCTCGTCACTTCATCGTGATCTCACCTGTCCTCTGTTGATGAACGATGAAAAACGGTAAGAAATCTCCTTTAGCTAACTTTAGCAGCTAGGACGTCAGTTTGACTGCTAGCTAATCGTAGCCTGTGTGCTAACGTCTCACCTGACATGTCTGTGGCTGCAGGACAGTTACAGATGGTGACATACTGAGGTGAGTTATCATTAAGAATTAAAAAGAAAAGAGGAATGCAAAACAATTGTTCAGACTTTATTAAAATTGCATTAGTGCTATTTTTCTGGTTATTCAGTATTTAAACATTGTTCATGTTTGCTCATAAATGGGTTAAATGACTGATTATTATAACATGCCCAAACTAAAACTCAATTAAATAGAGTATTATACAATGCTATACGGTTACATGGTCAAAGAGTTTAATATATAATAATGTCTATGATACATGCCTATAGAAGTATAAATGGATTTTCTCCATTTAATGTTTACATGCACAGTTTTGTCGCGGAAGCAGAGTTTTGAATTGTGACAGTATTTCTGGTCACAGGTCATAAGAAGCAGGTGTGGGTGAGATGTGCACGGCAGGTACAGTGGTGACGGGTCAGAGGTCACACCAGCTTCTTGGCAATGAAGAAGTCCTTGAGTCGTTTCATCTGCCAGAACCCGACTGTGAGCAGAATAGACGTCTGCACCACAGCCCACCACAACACTTTACTGTTGGTGTTCTCGCCGATGGTTCGAAACACCTCCTCTTTCTCCTGGATCACAGCAGCAGACACAAAAACACACACTGAGTCTTTCTAGATGCTTTGGAAATGTTTTGATAATATTATTACATAAAAGTACTTCTCATTTACCCGCTGGTACTCCTGCTGTCTGGTGATGTACATCATCTGATCCACGAGGTGTCTGAGGCTGTTCTCCAGTCTCTCCATGTTGTCTTTGGTCTTGTCAGTATTGGGGTTAATCGAGTGCTCTCCCATCTGAACGTCCACATGTAGCTTCTGTTCAGCACAGTGGAGGGAGAGCGACATATTATTCTCTCATATTATTTAGAATATTTATGATTTATATGTAGGACTTGATTAATGTGCCAGTCATTTTCTTGCATGATTGAAAGGCCTGTATAATGCTGAGAATGACTTTGCCAAAGATTTTGCCATAAAATCAGAAAACTTCAGGATTTAAGATTTTTACTTTTACAGTTTTCCTTAAATGTTAGGCTTATTACCTTTTAAATTTAAGAAAAAAAAAATGCAAGGATTGAAATGTAAAATAGAAATATAATGATGATCATTTTTCTAATGATTGACTTATCAACTACTGACTAATTGTTTAAGGTCCAAATTTATCATGGCAAAACTTTCACAGAAATCACTTGAACATTATATAGTGTTATTTAATCTTTTTAAATTTGTGTGTGTCCACAGGTCTCACCATGATTTCTCCAGCAAAGACAGAAAACCTGGTGGAGTTGGTTTGGAAGCAAAGGTAGTGCTGACCAGAGGTGTGAGCTGTGAAGGTGAATTTACCAAATTTACCAAAGCGCTTGGTCATCAGAACCTTGAGAGCAGGAAAGATGCTGTTAGGTCAACAATTCTTCAGCTATGAGTCAACAAAATGGAGACTTGGTTATTCATATGTTTAGATATTTTCTTACCAACCAAACTATGCAGCACTTAACACAAACAACACAGTTCAATGCACACACTGTCCTTGTTTAGGTTTGGTTTGAATGGAGAAACCATCACACACATGCTTGGTGATAAACTGTGAGTGCTGTACCTCATGGTTTGGGTCTCTGACTGTCACAGTGGCACCAAAGTGGGGGGAGTGGCTGAACGTCTTCAAATTCCAAGGCTCCAACAAGAAATAACCTAAAGGTAAGAGACACTAAAGCATCAGTGTGTAGACATACTATATGTGCACAAACACACATCGTTGTAGTCAAGGCCAAACTATTACCTTTTATCAGGGAATGGAATCTATCTCATATTGGGATTAACATTAAATGTCAAATGCACCTATATAATTGTTTGATATATACATTCATCGCCATGTTACTCAAGTACACAAACATTTCACTTGTTCACTTGTTACAGGAGTGATTAAATATTTTACATTTCTATGTCTAATTGTTATTATTAAAGAGGACATCAGTTTTCATGATGCGCATGTAACAGTTGTGTGTGTTTCAATAATCACATGGAAATACGTCTATAAAAATATAATTCCACATTCATTATTCTGAATGACGTTCAGGAGGAATATTCCCTCTCCAGGACTCACCGGTCACCAGCGTGTCCTCAGGAATCTCCTCAATGATGCACTTTTCCTCCTGTTCTCCGAGATCAAAATACATTGCTGCGGCCAACATCAGGTAACACTGGAGCAGAAAGCCAATGCCTCGAAAACCCATTTTCAGCAAACAATGAGCTATTAGATTACAATACACTTGACACTGACCAAATGTTTGGCCTATGCTTCCTGTACTACTTTCTTTTTTTCTAGTATTTTTGCAAATTCTAGGAAGTTCTGAGGTATGTTTCATTGACTATAGCCAAACAACCATTTACTATAGCAGACATTTACAGTGGAGGGCTGCAGTATAGTGTGAGAGGGTGTGAGAAATTCACAGGTGCTGTTTTGTGTGACGAGACATTCCCGTCGTGTTGTGACTGGTTGACCTGGGAGCCAATAGCAAGTTATTGATTGGGACCAGCAACTTGCCCCAGATACAGAACAATCAGCCGTGACTTCTGTGTTCACACATCAACATGGAATGGGAATTCATACACCGTTCTTGGAGATGCAATGTTTTTATTGGCCTTAAACAGCAAATATCTTCCAATTGGTATATTATCGTAAGACCTTGCACTTCTCATGCGTCTATAATGTGTGAAAATGTGTACATTTAACTGACTATGTCACCATCACTAATAAGTTTCTTAGTCCTTTCGGATTTTTTAGTCCTTTTAAAAAATGTGTTGTTTACCTTTTAACCTCTGCGAAGCAGCAGCGAAGATTGCCAGTGTAGCCGTGACTGTTACTACAGTTCAGAGGAGAAATCGAGTGGAAAATGTAATACAGACCATTACATCCAATAGTTGCCATATGCTTACCCTACATCAGGTCACTAATAAAGTAAACCCCAACACACCCACACACAGAATAAAACCTTCTCATATTTAGCATCTGCAAAAGTTATCATCTCCTAGGTAAGCAAAGAGTCTGATTTCCCTCTCCTCCCACACTAGTTTCACAGAAAGTGTGAATGCGACTGTACCTGCCAGTAAAATAATAGCTTCATGTTTAAACTATATACTCTCTAATAACCGTAGTCTTACTCTCTACTTTATGTAGGTCTTATATTGTTTCTTTTGTGTTGTTTTTTTGAACTTACATACAGTACACTCTCATTAATACTGTGCAGGGTAAATTATTAAAAACTGGTGAAGTGAGTGCAGGTCAGCGGGGGAGGGTAGGGGGAGACAGACACTGCAGCATGGTGCAAACCAACCGCTGCTTCTGCCCTGATCCTGAAGCAGTGTCACTAGTCATTGTGCAGCAGCAGCGGGCAGTAGTGGACACCCGATATTTTCACTTCTTTTGACTAGTTGGACACACCGGCTCTTTCACCTTAATGGGCTCTGCTCCTTCACTGTCTGAGTGTGGGCGGGGCCTGTTTGTGTGAGTCTTCAGACACAGATATGAGATGACAGAAGCAACTCCCGAACTCTCTTAAGTGTTGCTGCTGTTGTTATGTAAAAGGAGATCAGTCACAGAAAAGGCATATATTAAAAGATCAATTCCTCCTTTTTAGGAATCAATATCAAATCATTGAAATGCTTATTGACTGAGAATGGATTTATTTAAACCCAGCCCTAATTGCATCCCATCATTTCTTCAGATTTATCAGCTGCAAATCTCCGTTCATGAAACCAGCTTGAGCTTTTGCTTTGTGACATTGTCCATTCTCCAGCTGGAAGGAGCCATTACGAGATGGTTTATAGAGCCAATAAAGGGATGCACATGGTCAGCAGCTATACTCAGATTGATTATGGCATTCGAACTATTATTGATTGGTTTTGAGGTAGCCAAGGTGAGTCTGCTCCACACCATTGCACCACTACCAGCCTGGACTGTTGACACAAGGCAGGTTGTGCTCATGAATTTGTGCTGTTCCTTGCAAATTCTGATCCCACCATCTTTGTGTGTCTCAGCAGAAATTTAGATTCAACAGACCAGGTTGCATTTTTCTAGTCTTCAGCTGTCCACTTTTAGTGAGCCTGTGCAACTGCAGCTTCAGATTTCTGATGGGCTCTTAGGTGCTCCTCTGCTCACCACAGTTGTAAGGCGTGGTTGTCTGAGTGGTTATCCATATTCTTCAGGCAGCTCGAACCAGTCTGGCCATTCTCCTCTGACATCTCATCAAAAAGGTGTTTACATTGGCAGAACTGCTTGATTCAGAAACCAGTTAACAAACATGCCATGGTCAAAGTCACTGAGATCGAATAACTGCTGCCAAATAACTGGTTAATTACATAATTGTAAGGATAAGCAGGTGTGAAGTCGTTCCTAATAAAGTAATTTCCTTCTGAGGACACTACATCAGTTTATGTTTATCTTATCAAGATGAATTCTTAGCAAACTGGATGATATAATGGTAAAACCCTTTTCTGAGGATGTGGACGCCCATATATTCTCCTCATAAGATTCAGGACACACTCTGAACTCTTAGCTGATGAAAATATTGTTATGTAAATCCAGAAACTGGATCTGCTCCTCGCCCGTCTCCTGATTCTTTATCTCAGTAATTTTCCTCTGCCTTGTTATTCCAAACGGAAGGAGCTCCCTCGTGCACCAGATGTTTAGTTCTTATTGCTATTCAATCTGTCATCTGCAGTGTGGTTTCTGCGTTGCTTGGTGGGAAAGGGGGTGGGGTCATAAGTGATTTTTATCTGTTTCACATATGAAAAAAGAGGTCACTTTACATGCAACTGGTGTCTGCTCTGTCCATTAAAAGGGACTCCAGCGTCATCATGGGATGTGCTGCGCTGGACGTTACAGCACAAAGTGAGCTCCATAAGATTTAATGACTCGTGATCTAAATCAACATTTGTTGAACTTTTTAAAATAGTTGGTGTGCACATTTGTCCATTTTATGACCAACACTTCATCAGGACAAGCTCGAGCCAACAATGGGGCCTGAACTCAGGTCATCCAGTTAAAATCATGTCTCTGAATTTGATCCTGCAGCACCAGTGTTTGTAATATTACCATGGGAGCCCTGAATGCAATTAAGTCCAAATGTGTGGTTCAGATTTGAAAACCATACACTGCATTAAAGGAGTTTAGCTCATATTATGGATAAATCTTTTTCTCACTACAAAATCAATGTTGTGATTATAGGAATCATGTGAAGTTTGAAAATGAATGTGCAAATATCTTCAAAATAGTCTTTCATCACAAAGATAATCTCTTTATTTAAGAAAGACTTTGTATTTACACTTTATTGATACAGAAAAATACATTTTCTTTTGTACATTTTCAATATTTTTATACCAAATTTAATTTCGGTTTTGAACTAATATCTCAGTAACATAAAGGACTACACATTTTTACCATCACATTTGATATAATGTACACCACAGGTTAAAATCCTGTCAATAAATATATCCTTTGTGTTCAGGAAAATAACCACAATGTCTCTGTAAACATTATGCTTTTCTTTCACTCACTTTTCTGTTGGTACTACCTTAGCTAATGGAACTATTGAGACACCATGTTTTCCCTGTGCAGGAGCTGATGTTATTTGGATTTTCTCTTAAGTATTTCTTGGATACAGGGATTTGAGATCTTAAGTGCTGTTTGCTTGGATTTGTTTCCAAATCCGTCAGAGCAAAGCTGCTGGGAGGCAAACAACTTTCTGTGATCTTCAGAAATGTCAAACCAAATCCAATTACAAAGTGAAAATATGTTTTTAGTTCATGGTTAAGTTTTTAAAAAATTGTTCAATCCCCATAAACATTTTGATAAACTGCCAAAACTGAATTGGTATCTAATGGCTATATAATAGTTGCCAAACTATACCTGTGTAATGCTGACAGCTCTGTCAATGTGACATGAGGATGAGACTTTTATTTGCAGTCTACTCTACCAGTTGAACAGTTTGACAGTCACTCTGTACAATAGCCATTTCCACAGAAAGAGGCCGTAGCCGGGGGGGAAAGAGGGAAGTCTAGTTCTTCATATTTATGCCTTACTTGAATACACCAAACACCTTTTACTGTTGTTTCTCCGTCTTCGTCCCTTCCTCCCCTTCCTGGCTGTCCTATCTTTCTTTTCTCTCCTCTCCTTCCTCTCTTTCTTCTCTCGCCTTTCCTGGCCTAGTCATAAGCAGTTGACCTGGATGCACTTCCTCTCCTCCTCCAGAAGGGGGCAGGGGGCTCCATTGTTGGCAGGATGCATGATGACGTATCGTGTGCGGTGCTGCACGCCTGAGTCTCCACATTTGCCTTTGCACAAGCCCCAGGGAGACCACACTGACACCTCACAGTCCAGGGGGGTATCTGCACAGAGGGGGGGGCATTAACGTCTCATTAACATTTTGATTTTAGATTTTTCCTGAGGTACGACTTTAATTTATTCTTTTTCAGTGTGTTGTGTTTGTTGCATTGACATTTGTGTTTCCTTTTACAATGGAAACGAGTGGAATAAGTCATAAACAGAAAAATCACTGCTCTTAAACACGTATTTGTCTCTTAAAAAAATGAATACAGTAATGAAAGGGAATCCTGTAAATTGTGTCGTGTTGCGTGTGCAGCTCTTTAGGAACCCATTGCTTCTTGTTATAGTTTCTTGGCAGTGGCTGTGCTGTTGGAGTTACAGTGGGGAAATAAGTATTCACCACTTAAACACAGTTCCAATGGAGCAATTCACATTAAATTGTGACCAGACTTTGTTATCAACTCCAGAATTTCACACATAACAATTCATAAATTGTAAATTGAACACAGTAAGGAAAAGCAGTAAACCAAGAATAACTGATTTCACAAAGTGGGCTAGGTTAGTTCTTAAGAGAAGCTTACTCAAGTCTTAATATAAATATACAAATTTCCAACAAGCTGTTGGATAAGGAACATCTCGTGATGTGTTGAGGAAAAGATGTTTACCAAGACCTTTTACTTTTGACAATAACAGCACGGTTGAGTGAGAGATTTTACAACTCCTAAATGTTACTGTAAGAACCATTGGGACCATTATCTGCAAATGGTAGGAACATCAATCCACCATGAATTGGCCATAGTCAGTTTTCTTACAAAATATGTAACCAGGGAGTCATGATGTGCAACAGAAGTATAGCCCAAGAGCCAAGGACCACACTCCTCAAAGACTTGGAGGGAGCATGTACAGTTG